GGAAAATACACTTAGTGCTCCTTGCAGTGTTGTGTTTCACTGGAAAACCCAAGAGGGGGAGAGAATTGCCTTGCACCTGCCAGCTTCATTAACATTCAGCCACAGGATTGTTCAGATGCTTGTTAGGAAAGAATATTGCTTAAAGGGTCACCTGCTAATATTTTAAGTAAGCTTCAGTGGGAAAAAATTAGTATTAAAATACATTTAAAAGGTCAACTTTGTCATTCAGAACTGCTTTGTGCATAATGCATGGTACATTTTCCAAAGGTTGAGATGGAGCAGTGGTGTTTTTGACAGATTTGCACTTCCATTGCAAGGAAAGTCCTGTATCAAAAAGGAGTACCCCATTTAGAATTTGGGTAACTTGAGACCCATCACTAAACCCCAAAGTGCTCTGTAAAACATGGATTATGTATATGCTGCTTGTGTATATTTTATGATGGAGAAAACATACTTTCTTGCTGGTTTTGGAGCTGAGCTGAGCTTTCTGGTTTAAAGCATACCATATATAAAAATTTGGAGTAACAACTGCATTTGCACACGGTGTTTGTATCAGGTTGTACTACAGATGAAATGTACTGACACTTACTGATACTCGCGGAAATGTCTGTTGCATATCGTTTTAAAATGGGCTGTAATAATACAAATAGTTGTAACTCATTTACATTTCTACATAGAAATGATGTAGTTCACGGTGAAAACAATAAACATTCTGCTTTTTTATAGCAAATATGAGTACCTTGGGTAGATGAGCTTCATAGCTGCATGGCCTTGTTACAGAATACAATTTTGTAACTCAGTTCTGGGGAGAAAGATACTGCTTGCAGGAGATTCTTGGCTGAGCAGACTTCTGATGTCTAAAAGTAAATTTTATTGTTTTGGGATTACTTTGCTCATGTGATTTTCCATCATTGATCACTTAATGCCATTTCTGGCTTTTGGATTGTTTTTTTCAAGTTGCTGAGAAGTATATTAATTGGCCAGTTTTGTACCTGAAAGCTAAATTGAAAGCAAAGATGGCCTGAATGTCATTACAGGTTGGGCTCAATGCGACGATCTAAGTAGCATAGCTGTAATTTTCATTACCTGAATCTCTCAATCATTTGATAATATTGCAGAGTATCACTGCATGACCCTAGAAATGAACTAAGGGCTTGTAGTTTCACTGAGCCAATACTCTCCCCACCACTGACAAGTACTAAAACAAGGAGGCGAAGTTATCTGTCTGCTTTAAACTTTGGACAAATACATCTCTCTCTCACCTTTTCCACTGCAGAAAGAGCTGTCTCTCTGCCTAGAGCAGACTAACTACAAAGCTACTCTACAACTTCCATTTTTTTAGTGCAGTGGAGATGTGTGCCTGAAGGGCAAACAGATTTGTAATACCTGCATCGATTATGGGAGAATTTCTGATCTCTCGCCTTCCTGGTGAGGTTTGTACAGTGGTGTGACAACTTTAGATACAGATTATTCTAAAATATTTTTTCCAAGTAGACTTTACTTTTTGACTAAAAGTTTCTAATAAGATTATCATGCTTTGGACCTGCACTTCCTGGGAAGGAAGGGTAGGAAGTCAGCATACATCCAAAGGGAAAGGGAAATGAATGGTCTTGGTAGCATTTTTTGCATGCTTAGCATCCCTTGGAATAGGAATTCACAGGACTTTAGCTTTTTATACACTTAGCTTTTCACTGGGAGATGTGTTCTAGAATTTGGAGGTTGAAAGTGAAATGCACAGTTGTTTATCCTGGCTTGTTTTCTGGTTCCTTTCCAAGGAGAGAGTGGACCCTTTTCATGCAGACAGACCTCTGCTGTGTCAAGGCTGCTCAGATTAACTGTGCAGCTGGAAAGTATTTTCCACATCACTTGTGTAGATGTTGCTTTACTGGTTCTGCAGTTCTGCCTCTCCAGTTCCTTACTGGCTACTGACCACAAATGATGCATTAATAAAATTGAAAGCAAAGTGAATAAAATTACCATAGCCTGTGATCCACAATATATTTATTATGTAACCCTCTAACCTCTAAGGTGTATGTGCATGTGTACATACATTGCTTCAGGTATATGAACGAAATGCATACTTTACCATGGCTGTTCTTTAATTTTACTGCCTCCTTCAAATACCATTTGGTCATTTTCAGGAGCCCACTTCAGAACTGTGTAGAAGAGCAAAGGGACAGGGGTTGGTAGAGTATCTGTGGATGCTTCTAGGAAAACTTGTCTTTTAAAAAGTTTTATTCTTGCCATCTGTCAGGTGGACTGGAAAGGGGTAGAAGAAAGGGGAAGTAGGAATGGACCTATACCAAAAAGAGGAAAACTAAATAAAGTGTTGGAGGTTGACTGTGGGCAAATGAAGCAAAGAAGGTACAGAAGACCAGGAACATGGAGCAGACCAAAAGACATGGAATGCTGAATGAAGATGAAAATAATGAGGGAGAGGAATGCTTTTATTCTCCATACAATCAAGAGTCTAGTAGTTGCAAGATGTTCAGGTATGGCAAACTGAAAAGTTATAAAGGCCTGACTATATACTTACACTTCTTGATATCATTTCATTTAAAGGAATTTTCTGAGTTGCTGTATTGCTTCTAATTGATATTTATAGTAATTTTTATTCCTATTTAATGCATTTCTCTCCCCCCACCTTCCTCTGCTAAAACCATTCCCACTGTCTTGTTACTGCCTACTACATTTTCAAATGTCTCAAATCTGTTGTTCTTCAGCACCTAAATAGTCCTAATAGTTCATAGCAGTAGCCTTTTGGGACGTAAGTAGCTTCTCCGCTCATTCTGCTGCTCACTATATAGTATTTTTTAGACCAAGAAATAATGAATGACTAGCACTGTTAGGATTCCTGAGCAGACACCGTGACACTGGGATAAAGCCATCAGCATTAAGTCTTTCAGAGCATTGTCCCTATAGAGTGTCCTGTTTTAAAGACAGAACAGTGCTGCACAGTAATTTTGGTTTACAAAAATCAAAAAAGGCCTCACACAAAGCCTTATATAAATTATTCCATCTAAATGCGTGACAAACATTTTGGAAGGCGTCAGCAAGATTTTTGAGTATTTCTTGGTTTGCTGCATTTGCCTTGTTAAATATTACTTAAAAAATAAACCAGTTTACAAAAATCATAGTGTGAATAGAGACAAAGTGCTACTGCAGTTTGGCTACCTCTTGTTTAGTTGGAAACCACAATTCTGTCCCTTCCTTTGCAGCAGGAAAGCAAAACTGGAGATCTGTCATTCTTGGGTCCTGCTTTCTTCATGAAAGCAAACTCTTAAGGTAAGAACATAATTTTACACTTTAACATTGCTTTATTGTACAAAACAAGCAATTTATTAAATACAGCATCTGTCATCCTTCAGAAAAATACATGCAGAGAGATAAGGTTTTTGTTCACATTATTTTTTCTCCCTTGAAATAAGTATGACTTTTTCCTGTCCTGTTCCAAGGAATTGGACAAATTTCTGGTCTAGGTGTGCTTTTAAATGAAGCCTTTAAATATCGTCTGTCTTCTCAGTACTACACATGATGGGAGTTAACACTCCTCCAACACTATTCTTCAGGCAGTGGCCAGTCAGTGATCAATTAATGTCTGAAATCTTGGTTATTTCATCTTTCACATCCTTGATCTTGGTTTGAACTGTTGTTAGATTGGCCAGTTTCTCATTCAGTAAAGCAATTTCCTTCTCCTGTCGTAACACCTCCTCCACTAATCTTCCTATTCTCAGTGTTAGGTCATTTATTAAAGGCTCCAAGATGGCAAACTCCTTTTTAACTTTGTACATCTTAGGTTTTAAATCATTTGCAAATGTAACTGTCTTCAGAACTTTTGCTCTGTCACCTTCAAGATTCAAAAGTCTGTTGGAATGCTTGTTAAAATCACTCCTTAACTCGGACAGTGCTGTCTTAATTTGCTCAATTTTTTTTGCATTACTGGCTGCCAGGCTTTGGATGTTTGTACTTCGGTCGATGCTACTGGTAAGGAGGTCACTTATATTTTTTACTGTTGCCTTTTCACCTTTTTCTACTTTATCTTCTAGTGTTAGTAAAGAATCCATCAGTATAGTCATTTCTGAGACCAGGCCTGAAATGCGTCTTATGTCAGTTTTTACTGTCACAATTGTCAATGTTACATTCTTTGCTATAGAAACTGCATTCTGTTCAGTGCTTGAAACTGCATGAAAAAGGCTTGTTAAATTCTTCTCTAGTTCTTCTTGTTTTTTAATTATGCTGCTAGACCATGTTTTCATTGTATAAATATCTTTCTGCAGATATTTAATGTGAGAAATTGTTTGAAGATCTTCCAGCTGTTTCATTAAGTTCCAAGTCTTTTCACACTAGAGGGATACAAAAATATTTCTAGCTTAACAACTTAACATCAAAATTCAAGCCATACTTAAATGAAATATCCTATTATTCTGACATTCAATTTGAATGCAAACCCTATCTCTAGGAAATCAACTTCTGTTACAACACAATCACATTTTTTTTCTTCTCAGTATACATAATAAATGTTAGTATTTCTTCTATTACTACAGAAAATCACAGCAAGGTGGTATATGACTTTCCAAGGTAACCTCTGAAAACACAAGTCATCAAATGGAATCTTCTTCCATATACAGGAATTTTTAAGTCTCCATAAAAGCTATTTTAGTGAAAGAAAACTCATGCTACTGGTGGATTTTTGTCTTGATTTGCTAGTTCACTCTTTTATTTTTATTTTCTTATGATTGGTTCTTGGTTTTCAAATTTGGGAGCAAAAAAGGAAATCATCTGAGTGATACTATCCTGTTCAATCCCCGGTAAGTCAGGGTAGAACTTGGAGAGAAAAAAAAACACCAAACAAGCAAACTGAAACACATTCCAAGAGGCTAGAATTAGTTTTATATTAATCCTTTTCTGGACACTAATAGAAAAAATATCATCACAGGAACAAATATTTTTAACTCTTCCATACTGCTGGTCATTCCTTAATAGCTCAGAACCGTTTGCTCAAAAGCAAAACACCAGAATGTAGGTTGTGCAAAGTCATGCTTATTTCCTACTTAATGTCCTCAAAGGAAGAGGATTTCATGTTGAACCTCCTTTATATTCAGCTTTCAGCAGGGTTGAGGTTGATGAAAGACTTTAGATTAGGGGTCATTCCACTGGCACTTTCACCACCCTGCCTCAAAAATATACATAGCAGAAACACTAGAACTTGGAAGACGCTTGTGAAAAGTGTTTAAAAGTATTTTAAAAAATTATTTATATAATAGTTTTTCCTAATAGGACATGGAACACTAAAGTATTTACTCTGTACCCTTTCTGGAGGAACAGTTTATTTTGAATCAGATTATATGCACCAGGATGAGGAAATTCACTACAATATATTTTTATTTTGACTATGACTGTAAACTGACAGAAATTTATACATAAGCAATAATAATATGAAGACAACACAGCTTTATAACATTGAGAAACATTGGTTTCATAGTCTCTTGAATAGGCAGTGTTACCTCTTTAGTGAAGAATTCAGTGGAATTCTCAAGAAATCAATGTACAAACCCGGAATAATTTAAATCTGATGAAGTCATAAGTGTTATGGGTTCATACTGTTTCTACTAAGCAATCGTCTTTCCTGAGAAATACAAAATTATCAAGACAATAAGTCTGCAGACAATTTGTGTTGTCCCTGAGATCCATATTTCAGTGAACAGCTGTCAGGTAGTACTACATCATGTAAGTAGGTCTATGAATAAACTGGATGTTCCCTGCTCCCAGACACATAACTCCACTTACTTCTTTAATTACTTCGGCAGCTCTTGGTTCAGCAAATTTTGGGAAACAATGTCAGTGACACTGTTAATTTTTTATTTTCTTGTCAAATGTGAAGCAATAAGAGACATATCATGTAATGCCTAACAAAGAATATCCTACAGAAGAAAAGGCTAAAATTTGTTTCTAAAGCACCAAAACACTCCCCAAAAATAAAAACAAACCAGCTTCTATGTAAATACCAGCTGCTTATAGATACCAGAACAAGACAAAGTTCTCAGTAGGGGGTATTTTACTAAGTGTTTACCCTAAGGGTGTTGTACCTAAGCTTCAGCTGTTAAAAATGCACTCCTGTTTTCCTGCAGCACCAAACCATCACAGTGTACCATACATTAAAAACAAGGTACAGCTAGCTCTGCTGAGAAGTAAATGATTAATTGTGCACTGTGTTACAAGTCTATGGAAAACAATACACAAAGTAACAACAAAAGAAACTAAGTAGTGAAAACTAAATACAAACTAAAAATATGAGCTCTTTTCCCCTTAAATCTAAATACTGTCCTTCAAATTATTTTTAATAAAAGTATTTTAATAAATAAGCTGAAAAGAATCCTTAATTTAAGAAAATATTCCTTTCCTTCTTTAACAGAGGTTCATTCTCAACTTTTTAGGCTGTTCCAATGTCTCTTTAGATCAATGACAATATCTCAGCTATCCCTGACATACACTTAAATCACATTGTTTATAAAAATGTGCTTTTTCATTAATGAAAAAGTCAAAACTCACTTATCCCCATTCTGGCCATTTTCCAAGTTAAAGCTTTCCAGAGTTACTTCTTTTACTTTAGAAGATCCTGTTAAGTCAGGCCCTGTTTCTAGAACAGCTATTTCATGCTGCACTTTGAACAAGCTGCCTTTGGACTGTAGGGCTTCAAGAGCCTTCTGCACCACCACTGTATCTGAAACAGTTTTCAACATGTCATTTTCCACAGTGTACAGCTGTGTCTTCAAGTCCTCTATCTTTTTCTCCATACCAAGCAAGTCACTTGACAACCTAAGAACAGAGCGAATAGCATTTTCAATTGTTGGCAAATGGGTCTTGCACTCCTCAATTTTAGGTTCATAGTTTGCAAGTTTCTGATTCAGGTCTGTGTCCTTGGCTACCAGACTATTCTGTTCTTCTTCTAGCTTTTCAACTGACTTTGCATCCAAGTTCAACTTTTGTTCAACCCTCGAGAATTCATCATCTTCTTGCTTTTTTAGTGTTCTTATATTTCTGGCTGTACTGTCTTCCAAATCTCTTACTCTTTCTGAAAGGGATTTAATTCTTTGGTCAACTTCATTAATTTTGGAAGTAACTTCTGTATGTATGACCTTTGCTTCAGATTTTAAACCACTAGCATTTGTGTTCATTTCATCCAGGCTTCTTCTCCAGGAATTTGTAACATTTTGGAACTTCTCATTAATGCTCTGCATCTTTAGAGATAGAGTCTGTTCATTGTTCTGAATATCATTTATGATGTTGTGAAGAGAAGGTATTTCCTGCTCAAACTCAGTCATCACAGAGATGGATGAGGCAGCTTCTTGCAGGATACTTTCAGTAGACTCAAGCTGTGTTTACAACACAAAACAATGTCTGTGTCTATTTTAAAAAAGTAAGAACAGAAAACCATTTCCATTTATTAAGGGAAAATAAAGTCCCTTAAAAGCCTCTGTACTTGTTACAAAGCTCCTCCATGGTGCGTTTCTGCATTTAATCTTTAAAATATTGTTGATTAACCTAGCATGAAGAAGTCATGGAAAAACAGGAATGTCTATTGTTGAACTTATATGGCCTATATGCAATTTTCCATGCTTGGTTTTTTTTGTGTCCAAAATACAGCAAATCCCATGCAACATTTTGCAATCTGAAGCATAGTGTATATAAATATCCAAATTACATCACGTATAAATGACATTATTCTGAGATCAGTGCTGAAACAAAGTCATTGCCATGAGCCATGCTGTGCTACCATCATTATCTGTACTTATTACTAAATATCAGGGATAATTCAGCAATCAGCACAGCTTTTCTACTTGATAATGTCACATGTGGTAATATTTTTTTCATTACTATTGTATTTTTTTATCTATCACTTTATTATGTCTTCACATTGTTAGAACAGGTGTGCTACATCAAAATGCTGGTAAATTTTCTTCACATCAATGTATGTTAGAACCACACATGAAAGAGGAGTGGTGGAATGAAATGTGCATATATGTCAGTTCTTAAAAACAGTTTCTAAAAAATAATACTGAGATTCAACCACTGTATTCACCTACTGGAACAATGGCATGGATTGACATGCTTTGTATGAAAGTCTCTAAAGGCCTATTCACAGGCAAGTAAAACACATTATGAAAACTTATTTAAAACAGTCAGTTAAATTAACAACATAACAATGAAGTAAACAATGACAAATGTTCACCAAAGATTATCCAATTAAGATGTTAATCATTACCTTTTCAGAAATTAAGTTTACTTTATTTCCCACATCCAGGATTTTTTCAGCTTCTTGATGTAAAAAATTATACTTTCTTTCCAGATCAGCAAATTGACCTGACTGCTGAAATAGAAACCTGCAAATTTCAAGTAAATAAACAGAAAGCATAACTTTTTAATTAGCCAAGGGAGCATCCATAGATGTCTTTGCTTTTACACTGCATGCAAAGGTAATTAAGGCACTGATGCTGCTAAGATATTTTAAAACATCTTTAACAAAGGTATTTGACCTTTACTTAAAGACTTCACCTGATGAACGGTTTTATTACACTGCTGAGCAAATTATTTACAGAAAACTCTATTTCATTTCTTCTGTCCAATTATTTATTACCTGCCAAGCAAGCACTTACTTTCAGACAAAGTTGCTTTTTAGTAGATGTAGTCTCCAAAGCAGGTATTTAGAATTCCTGAGCAAGGCACCTTCAACATGATGTAACAGATGGAGCTTCAGTATTAACTCACTGCATGCCAATGTTTCCATGCTTGTGAACACTGCTGCTCTCTCCTTAATCCTTTGGGCTTTAACAAGTTTCTATAGACTCTTGTCCCATGCACTCTGTTAACATGTAAATCATACACCCACAGAATACAAAAGAAAAATACTAAAATCCTCTCAAGAGAGTTACCTACCAGCTCAGCACCAGGCAAACAGCAAGGGAAATGATACTCAGACTCGTCCTTGAGTCCATCCAAAAGGAACTGTGATTATTGCTGGTTCTGGGACTTGCCAGCTTCCCATAATTACTGTGCCTCTCAGCCTTCTGTGACCCTTCACTGGTCTTGGATGAAGACATCCCTTTTTTCCTTGGCTTAACTTCAGACATTTTGTGGTTTTAAAAAGCAGAAGCAAAGGAGAGAGCTAGAAAAAAATCCCAGAAAGGATTATTTTTTAATTCTTACTTTTAAACATCCTCAAATATAAACTCTAAGTACACAAAAACACCCTCAAAAATGTTTCTTTCAGTGTTCACTATGCTTCCTAGTTATGTGAACTTTTGTAAAGTATCATAATGCTTTCTATATTACAGAGCACTGCTTTCATTATTTTTTCTAACTGAACTGACTTTCCAAGCTTAAGCTAATTTCACCTTTCCAGAAATATTTTGTCTGCTGTAGAATAAGCTATTTTAAATATGTATTGAAAATTAAGAGGATTAAAAGTATACTTCTTTTTGTAGCCGATGGCTGTCCCAAGTTCATCAGCAATTTCACTGATGAACTTGTGTTTTACCTGTAGATTTAAAAAATAGTTATTACTTACACCACACTAAAAGGGGAAAGTAAATATTTCAATTTAAAAAATAAAATTGCAAATCAAGCTTTAATTTAGAAATAGTTCAGTTTTAATGATTTCATGTCATCTGTAAAACCACCAATGTCAGTTAACAAAAAGATAAAAAATGATAGAAAAACTCAGAAGATAAATGAAATCATGCCTCAAGAAAAAAAGAAAAAAAGAAAAACTGTAACTTCCTCTGGATAAAGTTAAAGTCAGAATGGATTGAACCAATATGAATCTCCAGCTCATATTTTAATCAACCAAGTGAAGTACAGAGTGTAGATTTCAAGCCTAAAATCTTCTACCATATTGCTCAAAATGGACTTGATCCTTGGCGGAGTGGCTTTAGCTTAATTTGAGACCAAACTGTTGTGCTGGTTTTTTTGGATCACTTTGCAGCACTGCCATTAATAATGAAATAATAATATCATTATTAAAAATAATAAAAAATAATATCAAAATTATTTCTATTTGGAGATATTTACAGAGACACGGGGGTGAAAGGCTTTGTTTAAAATCTTATCTGTCATGCAGGTAGCTTAGAGCTGTTTGAGCCACAGTACTAGGAAGCATGCTCAGAGCTTACTGAAGTATGGAGGAAAGAAAGTTTTCATTTCCAAAAAACCCAAAACAACAAAACCCAGACAAAAAGAAAAGCCACCAAAGCAGAAAAAAAAAGCATTTTGAAGCTTTTAAAACATCTTTGGGTAAAAAAAAAAAAAAGCTCTGAATAGTAGTTGGAAAAGAGTTTGAGAGAAAAGGAAAGCTCTGCTTTGAAAGGACGGCTTCAGCGCGCAGCCCGCTGCGGTAGCAGGGGATGAGCCGCAGCTCCCCAGAGACCCTTCCGGACCCCCGGCCGCGCTGGGGCCGCTCCCCAAAAGTAAAGGACTGCTCTCTCCGCTGCCCCCGAAGTGACCCACATCCCCTCGGCTCCCCCCAAAGTGACCGACTGCACCCTCCGTCCCCCGGGTTCCCGGCGAGCCCTAGTCCCCGGGCCAGCCCTGCAGGATGCCGCCAGCCCTGCAGGATGCCCTGT